CCAAAATGGCCACCACTTTTAAGTAAACATTCAAAATGGCTGCACCCTCTGTCACTTTAAATAGCCAAGATGGCTGCCACATGTAAACAATCAAAATGGCTGCACCCTCCGGACAAACAAGAAAGTCAGCGGAAAAAACAAACAAACAAGAAAACCTGCAATATCTGGGTATAGGGCAATAAGAGAAAAAGGCAGAGAAGGAGAATAATGAAGAAAAATGGGAAAAATGCAAAGAGAAAACAAGGAACAGGGTTAACCACGAGAAAAAAAAGAAGAAAAGAATTTTGCAACCAGGAACAGGGAAAAGAAAAAAGCTGAAAAAGGTCAAAAGTATTAATAATATTAGTGGTTTTAAAACAGACAAAAGCAAGCAAACTAAAAACCAGAAAAAAGAAAGAGAAAAAAAAAAATCGGGGGAGGGCAGGGCAGGGCACCCAGCCTCTGTCCAAGCACACAGAGTACGATGGAGTTCCTGTGGGCCCAGAAGGTGGGTGGGAGTGGCTGAACCTCTGTTCACCAAGCGGGTGTGGGGTATAAGAGTAACAAGGGGAATGTCGCACCTTCTCAGTATTCCAGGTCTGGAGTGTCCTTGGGGCTACCCGGATATCTTCTGGAAGCTAGAAGTCTGAATTCCAGGTGCTGGCTCTTGGGGAGGTTTCTCTCTCCATGTGGGCTCACTACTGGTTCCTGGACCTTTTAATCCCCTTTCTCCTGCTCTTTTGCCCTGCTTTGGGCGTGCCTGAGTTTTCTCTCCTCACCTGGATCCCTGCAGCTGACTCCTTTGTCTGGGTTCCTGGCTTTTAATTCCCTTTCTCCTACTCTCCCACTGCTGCTTTGGGTGTGCCTGAGTTCCCTCTCCTCATCTGGACCCCTGCGGCTGACTGCTCCTCTATCCTGGTTCCTGGGCCTTTTAATCCCCTTTCTCCCGCTCTCCTGCCCTGCTGCTTTGGGCATGCCTGAGTTCTCTCTCTTCATCTGGATCCCTGTGGCTCATAGAATCTTTCAATATTGCAACTCAAGGCTTAAATTATTTCATCAGTTCTTTCCTTTTCTAACTCCAGGTCTTTGCACATTTAATTATAGTAATTGGCTTTGTCTGCTCAAGCTGCTCTTTGAAATCTGTTCAGCTCTTTTATCTTGTCATTTCTTCCATTGGCTTTGGCTACTCCCTGCTCAAGGGCAAGTTTCAGAGTCTCTTCTGACATCCATTTTGGTCTTCTCTTCTTCTGTTGCCTTTTTAGTGACCTCTTGCTTTCTTCATGGATGATACTCTTGATGTCATCCCACAATTCTTCTGGTTTTCGGTCACTGGTGTTCAATGCATCAAATCTATTCTTTAGATGGTCTCTAAATTCAGGAGGGATATATTCCAGATCATATTTTGGCTCTCATGGACTTGTTTTAATTGTCTTCAACTTCAAGTTGAATTTGCATATGAGCAGTTGATGGTCTGTTCCACAATCAGCTCCTGGCCTGGCCTGGCTGAAGATATTGAGCTTCTCCATTGCCTCTTGCCACTGATGTAGTCAATCTGATTTCTGTATATTGCATCTGGTGAAGTCCAAGTGTATGGCTGCAGTTTGTGTTATTGAAGAAAGGTATTTGCAATGAATAAATCATTGGTCTTGCAAAATTCTACCATGCGAGTTCCAGCATTATTTCTGTCACCAAGGCCAAATTTTCCAACTACTGGTGATTCTTCTTTGTTTCCAACTTTTGCATTCCAGTCACTAGTGATAAATAACACATTTTGATTGCACATTTGGTCAATTTCAGACTGCAGAAGTTGATAAAAATCTTCAATTTCTTTATCTTTTGCTTTGGTGGTTGGTGCATAAATTTGAATAATATTCATATTAACTGGTCTTCCTTGTAGACATATGGATATTTTCTTATCACTGACAGCATTGTGCTTCAAGACAGATCTTCATATATCCTTTGTGATGATGAATGCCATGCCAGTCCTCTTCAAATTGTCATTCCTGGCATAGTAGATCATATGGTTGTCTGATGTGAAATGACCAAAATCAGTCCTAATGCCTAGGATATCAATCTTTATGCATTCCATTTAATTTTTGACAACTTCCAATTTTCCTAGATTCATACTTCGTACATTCCATGTTCTGATTATTAATGGATGTTTGCAGCGGTTTCTCCTAAATTTGAGTTGTGTCACTTCAGCAAATAGAGGTCCCAAAAGCTTTACTTTATCAATATCAGGAAGGTTGGTTCTACTCTGATGCCACTCTTTCCCAGTTGTATTTTAAGAGCCTTCCAACCTAAGTGGCTCATCTTCCTACCCTATATCAGATAGTGTTTCCAGGCTATTCATATAGTTGCCTAGTACTGTAACAGACAGTGTTTCTCTGCTATTCATAGGTTTTCCCTTGCCAATTCTTTGAGAAATTGATGGTCTCCTCCTTCTTCCTAGTCTGTGTCAGTCTGCAAGCCGTACAGAAACCTGTGCACCATGTGCAACCCCGCTGGCATTTGAAACACCTGTGGCACAGCCTCAAGCCTCACAGCAACACACCACCACAGTACAACAAACCAACGACAAGACTCTCTCCCTTGGCCATTCAAAAGCTCTCCACTCTCCCCTTATCTGGATCCCTGCCACTTGCTCGCTGTCCTGGACGCCCTAGCTTTCCTTTCCTTTTCCCTACTGCCACTTGGGGATTGGGGCCTGGGTCTCTCCCCTTACCTGGATCCCTCTGACACTTGCTCGGCCTCTCCTGGATGCCCTGGCTTTCCTTTCCTTTCCCTCTTTCTGTCCTTGGGTAAATGCTGCTTTTTGGATCTCAAATAGATTGTTCTAAGGAATGTGTACCTTCGTAGAATTATCATTGACCTTTTACACCGAGCTATTGTTTGACTGAAAATTCAGCTGTGGGAGTGAGTTCAGTTCCAGGTCCAAAGTGTGACCAAGGGCCATAATCTCAGGAGTTCTACTAGTCTCTACCCAACCAGTAAGCTTTTTTTTTTTTTTTTTTTTAATGATTTTGAGCTTTGGTCCACATTTTTCTCCCACTCTATCTAAGACCTTCTAATGTGATCCTTTTCAGAGCAGTTGGTAGTGGTAGCCAGGCACCATCTAGCTCTTCTGGTCTCAGGGTTGTAAAGACTAAGGTTTGTGTGGTCCATTAGTCCTTTGGACAAACTGTATCCATGTGTCTTTGCTTTTATTCATTGTTCTTTGCTCTGGGCAGGGACCAACAGTTGCACCTTAGATGGCCACTCCCAAAGCCCCAGTTGCTACTCACCAAAGGAGGATGTAGAACATTGTCTTTGTGGACTATATTGTGTGAACTGACCATGATGTCCCTCAAGACTGTGGTCCTGAGTACCCAGGCACCACTGACCTTTCTGTTAGTAGCTGAGTGCTTAACCATTCACTATGTGACCAGGATTCATCAATGGAATATTATTCAGCCAAAAAAAGGGAATGAAGCCCAGGTACATACTACAATATTGATGAACACTTAAAACATTATACTAAATGAAATATACCAGTCAGAAAAGGGCAAATATTGTATGGTTCTACTTATATGAAATATTTGTTGTTGTGTGTCATCAACTCCAAATCATAGTGACCCTATAGGACAGAGTAGAACTGCCCTACAGAGTTTCCAAGGCTTTATTTTTTCAGGAGCAGACTGCCACATTTCTCTCCCACAGAGTAGCTGGTGGGTTCAAACCACCAATCTTCTGGTTAGCACCTGAGCACTTAAGAAGGGCCAAATTCACAGAGATAAGAAGTGGATTAGAGGTACCAGGGATGATGAAGAGTTTTTATTTACTGGGTACAGAGTTTCTGTTTGGGGTGCAAATACATAGTGATGATGGTTAAACAACATTGTGAATGTAAATAATGCCAGTGAATTGTATGCTTAAAATGGTTCAAATGGCAAATTTTATGGGCAATCTACTTCCATAGTGATACCACCTCTGAAACCCAAGGAGGGGTCACTATGAGTCGGATCCACCTTGACAGCAGTGAGTATGGTTTTTTGGTGATATAATAAAAAGTGATACAGAATATAATATAAGAGGACTCATAGTTTAGTGGAAGGAGCACTGGGGCAGTCAGAAGAGCTGTGTTCCCATCTGCACATATTTATAATTAGGAGCCCTGGAGACATAGTGCCTAAGGCATTTGACTGCCAACAAGAAGGCTGGCAGTTCAAACGCACCAGCCACTCCTCAGAAGGAAGATTGGGCAATCTACTTCCATAGATATACCACCTTGGAATCCCAAGGAGGGGTCCTTATGAGTCAAAATGGACTCAACAGCAGTGAGTTTAGCAAATTACTTACATACTGTCTCTTCCACTAAGGATGGTTTGTTTATGTGCCCTTGTAAAATCCCATCTGGCTTTCAAGTTCTGTGGGTTATAAGAATTCACCTAGAAACTGGTAAAATACCCTAATCCTCTTTTATCCATTTGGCAAATAATTCAAATCTAGAATTTTAAAAAGTATATAATTTGTAAACAGCATACAACGAGACAGGAATGAAATTTGAAAGAAAGAAAATAGAAAGAAACAAAGTCCATTTGATCCCTAAATATATCTGATTGGTCTGGGTTAAAATTTCCAGTTTCTTTGGTCTTGGATTAATTTACATCTTGTAGCACAAAAACTAGAATTCCTGTGGTTTTTAATCTTCCCTAACATAAAGGCAGACGTGATTGTTATTTAGACAATTTTTTAATCCTTGTTGACTAAAATATTTACTACTTTATCAACAGCCCATGGCAACAAATTCCAAAAGTTAACTCAGTATCTATGAAGTGAGCAGTCCTTGCACTCTGGTATTCCAAGAAGCTCACCAAAGAGAAAATCAACAAGCAAACACCAGGATGATGCAAAGCACTAACTGTACATCTGGAAAACTAAAACCCCTGAAAAATGTGAGAAGTTTAAGGTAAGACTAATTTCCATTTTGCTTTTCAGAATCACCTGGGTAAAGAAGAAAGCATCACCAAGCACTTGCTTACCATTCCTTCCACTTCTTCATTGAATCCATCCACAGGGGCACACTCACTGGCATGGCCGTAGCAGAAGCAATTTCCTCGCACCACCATATCATAAACTGCATAATAGTACTTTTCCCTGATCTCCATTCTGGAATCCAACAGGTTATCTCCCAAAGTATGCAGTTTGACAAACTTAATTCTCAAGTTGGTGATTTTTAATAGATCTACAAAGTGCATCAAGAAGATGAAAAGTCTGGTCAAACAAGCAAGAATTCTTTTGCAATGATATAATATCATTTCTCTTTATGGAAAGGCATGGCAAATAAAAACAGTTTACATCAAGTTTACCACCCCGTGTGATTTAGATGACTAGAATTAAAAACAAAGCAAAACAAAAAACCCACTGCCACTGAGTCAATTCTGACTCATAGTGATCTCCACTGGGTTTCCCAGGCAGTAAATCTTTATGGAAGTACAATACCCCGTCTTCCTTCAGCAGAATGGCTGGCTGGTGAATTTGAATGACCAACCTTGTGGTTAGCAGTCAAATGCCTTAGGGCACTGCACCACCAGAACTCCTTTGATGACTAGAATAGTAGAGCTTAACACAACATGATCATCCCTGGCAGGAGGAGAGGTTACCTTTCATTAGTTTCATCACAATACCTGTTTTTTGGTGATTTTTTTTGCAGATGAGTATCTTATGAGGAGGGCCAGAAGTGGAGAACTCATTAAGAATGGAAGTACTTGGTGTCTAGAATCCACTGGCACATAGTAATCTAAACTATTACAAATGCTATCTGGTTCCCAGAGCAATCACTGTCATTCTCAAAATCAGAAAATTCAATTCAGGTGGGAAAGGGTTTATCAAAGCACTCCAACTCTCATTATTACTATTATAAGATAGAAACATAATTTTGTGTCTATTTTTGGTGAGGAAAATACCATCTGAAATTTCTCACCACTAAAATGAAACCCAAGTTACTAAAATAAATTTAATGCTATAGAATAACCACAATCCAGGGAGAGATTTTTAAGCAATATTTCAACCTATAGCTTTTGCATTATAGCTTTACAAAATGTTTCCACATTTACCAATATAATAGAATGGTCTAAGGATAAAGGAGCTTAGTAGTAGGATGTTGGGCCAAATTATTCTTCCTAAAACATGAGTTATTTATAGATCAATTTCTCTTATTTTTCTTATTCTTCCTATGTCTGTAGATCTAGGCTTATTACTGAAGTTGGGCTACCAATAAACCAAGATCCACTCAGCCTTCTCCACTGGTGTCTTCATTAATTACTAAATCGCTCTTCCTTAAGTGGATCCCCAAAGAGAGATTAGTCCATCTGCCCTCAAACTGAGCTCTGAAGCCTGAAATTCCTTCTAAGCTTTTCTTTCATATATGCTGATGTGTTCCAAATACTAACAACACAAGACAACAGGGTAGTGGCCCAATGCATAACTTACACTGAAGACTATAGAAATGGCTGTGGATTGAAAACAAATTCCATATACTAAACTTAGGCTCTTTGTAAAATCAAAAACTAAATAGAGAACCCGTGGTACTATTCAGCTGAATGGAATTTATGAATGCCAACATTTCCTCCTGCACAAGTCCTCCTGCACAGAATGAGCACAAGCATCTATTGACAAGAGGCCAAACAGTGAACTTGAAAAGCAGCTGGAGTATTTAGAAACCCTTGAACTGATCTTTGTGGAAGCCCTCGGAAGAGCAAATATGCCTCCCCACTCTCCCACCATATTTAATGACAGTTCAAATAACAACTTGGCCTCACATTGACTGCCATTCTAAGAGGCAAATTCACTTCTGAAGTGAGTCTCAGAGGTCTCAACAATAGGGATAACTGAAAAGATATGGTTCCCTTGATTACAGAGTAAATCAAAAGCATGATCAGCAAAAATGGATACTTCCCTTTTGTAGAAACAGTCTTTCTGAAGCCAGCCAACAACAGAAGACAAAAAGACTGCAAAGGCAACACATTCCTCAAGTCCCACAAATTTCTCCCAAAAAGGAGCAGATGGTGAGTCATGTTAGGAATCTGTGAGGTGTCTGTCATGGAGCCCATATGGACATTGCTCCCAAATGGATTTTGAGAATAACCTAGAAGCTGGCAGAGGGCTGGACATGCCATTAAACATTTGTTTTACAATAAAATAAAGGGGTAAATTATAGACCAGAGACAGTCTGGGTCACATGTAAAATTAATTCACGTGGAGAAGCAGCACTTTTTTGGCAATTATTTCCTGAACATCTTCCATTGTCTCTTCTATGCTTCAAGCTGTTCCATGAGGCCTTGGTTAAAAGTAGAGCCACGTACAGCTGGGAAAGATCAGGAAGACAGCCCTGCCTCTACTCATCTAATTGACTGGACCTTAAGCAGCAGGATAGGAGGCAGTCTTATCCTTTCACTGGGACATACAGCATCAGTGTTACCCAAGGCCTAAAGCACAGCTGTTGACACCAACAGCAGCTTCAATGTACTGAGCACTTCTTATGTGTTAGGCACTTGGCTAGGTAGCTTACACACATTAACCCATTTTGCCTCCGCAGCAATGCTAAGGTCAATATTACCAATCTTATAGCTGAGCTGAAAAAAGAGAGGTTTAAAAAAAAGTTTAATTACTTGTCCAAGATCACACATTCTGTCTCCCCAAATAAAAATGTAATTCTGTAATGCCATAGCACAGCTGCTGAATGTTGAGAAGAGCTCTGACCTGAGAATCAGAACACATGGGTTCAAGATCTGCGTCTGCCATTTAACAGCCATATTCTACCTCTGAGCCTCAGTTTACTCACCTGTCAAATGAAAATACAGACCTCATCTTACTGCGCATGGCTAAGACTTATGATTTTGCCACAGTCTGTCTTTCTTTCACAATAAGAACCTTCAAGATTTTAACAGAGGCCACCTAGCTAGAGATATTTCCCAACAACTCTTGCAGTATTTCCATGTGACTAATTCTGGCCAATGGGATGTAAGCACATGAGTACAACTTCCGTATCCCATCTTTCAATGGAATCTGCTTGCCCTCCACTTCCATGCTACCCATAGGTTGGAACAAGGACATAGAGTGGTGGTCTAGCTCTGATCATGTGGATGAAGACTACAAGAATGAAGAAACATGGCAACTTGGGTGCATTTATGTCTAGAGTTGTCAGATTTATCAAATGAAAATACAGAACACTCAGTTAAATTTGAATTTCAGATAAACAGTGAATATTTTTATAAGTACATCCCTTGCACTATCTGGCATTGGGACTACAACTCTACTTACGTCAACAGAACTACAGTTCTCTGGAAATCCCTTTGGGAGATTTTGTGAGAGAGAAGTAGACTTTAATCTTATTTGAGCTGCTGTAATTTTGGGGGATACTTTGTTACAACAGCTTAATCTATACCCTAATTAATATACTAAGCAATAAAGGCAGGGCTTATGATCATAGAAATTGTTTGAGTACTTAGGACATAAATCTTTCCCTCTTATCAAATGGCTGTTCCCCACCAGTAAAGACTTTGATATTATTACTGATTTCAAGAACTTCTGGTAGGTACTGCAGAGGCAGGAAGACACCAAAGACGGTGGACTTGGCCCTGGATATTGAGATTCCAGACAGGAAATGCTCTGGGAAACAGTTCTTCCATGATTGCCATTCCCATCAAAGCTCTTATCTGAAAATAAGCTTACTCTGTATCCTTGGACTGTAAGGATCTTCTATTTTGAAAGCAGGATCTAAAGCACGAAATATCACCTAAAAATAGAGATAAGAGTAACTGGTATTTTTGCAATGATCAAAAGGTCAGTTTGCAAGGAGAATATAAAATAAAAAGAGCAAACCTCTCCTTCCGTTGAGGGCTCAATGTCAGAATATCGGGAATCACAAATTATATCATCAACTTTTTTCATGGGGCCAGTTGAAATGCCTGGAAATGAGCTCTCACAGTCATAGGCAAAGTATCTGTACACGCCCCAGGTTTTCCCGAAGTCAGACGATCGCTCTATCAGCATAGCAGCTGGACGGAATGTCTAGAGGCAGAGAGGAAAAGTCATATTTGATGGGTTTTTTTTTTATTGTAATCTATATTTTTAAAAATCTTACATGAAAATATCTCTCAATGGTGTGTGACAAGCTCTGACTGCATGTGGTTGGTATTTCAGACTGTGGCTGGATTTCAAATACTCCAAGCTGTTCCATGAAGCCTCTTTTTTGTAAAGAAAGTATCTAGCTTCTAAATTTTGCACTTTCTCCCACCGTACCAGATTAGTAAGCTCTGCTTCTCTTTAGAAGCTGATTATAAACAGGCCTTAATAGCAAACTGTGGTATATTTCAGTCATCATGCCCATAGCATGGTTGGTTAGAGTTCTCATTCATTTGTCTGTTCATTCAGTTGCTCAATAGATGTGCACTAATTACCTATGTGGTACCAGACAGTGGTCTATATGCTCTGTATGTGCTACAGGCAGATCAGTGAAGGTCCAGATATGGATACACATCATTCACAACATACTATGTCAAACACCACAGCAGAGTGCATGCAGTGCGCTTTGGGAAGACAAGAGGAGGATTATTAAGTCAAGAAGTTGGAGAAGGTGTCACAAAGAAGATGGCACAACCTGGATCCTAAGAGAGTCCAGGCAGGAGATGGAAGTGGCTATAAGTAGCAGAACAGGCTGGTTGGGGCCAGAATAGAAATGAATCTGACGTGGTAAGGGATTTATGCAATGAATGGTGAACTCTAAAATGTAAGTGGGTAGGATGAGATGATCAGATTGCAGTTTAGAAAAATAACTCTTGGCCAAGTTTAGGTAAGCAAAAAAGATGCATGGAAACCAAGTAGGAAGTAATTTGAACAGAAAAAAAGGTGAAGGTCTCAACTCCAGCCACTACAACAGAATAGTAAGAAAGGGATGCTCTGAGAATTTAGAGCTGGCAGAAAATACAACTGAATTGCAGTTGATAAATCATTAGATTTCAGTGGAAAAGGAGAAAGGAAAGAAACATGGGCGTCTTAGGTTAGGTAGCTGGGTGGACAGTATTGCCAGTAACAAAGATATGGGACAGGAGCATCTTGGCTTTTGTTTTACATGAGAGATGTGCCAGGGGTATTCACATGGAGACGCCCACTGGACAACTGGAAATAGTGGTCTGGCTCTCAGTTACAAGAGTAGAGGTTGAAACACAGACTCAGGAGTCATTGTATATACACAATATTGAAATGGGTAAGTACAGAATTTGCTGTCCCCCACCCCACAAAAAGCACAGAACAAGAATGAAAGAGAGCCAAGATAAGAGCTTCAGGAAAAATCATCAATAAGAGGCTAATCAAAGAAGAAAGAGTGATGCCATGAACTGTAATTACATTATTTCATTTAATGCTTACAACACGTCCACCTTACAAATGAAGAAACTGAGGCTCAGAAACAAGAAATGACTTGCTAGTTATAGGTACAAGAGTTTAGATTCAAATCCAGACTGAATACAACCAAATCTATGTTGTTCCCTCATTGGCTGATGGCATAATAGAAGACCAAAATATGGGTAGGAGCTCTGGTGATGTAGTGCCTAAGACTGTTAACCAGAAGGCTGGCAGTTCAAACCCACCAGCCACTCCTTGGAAGGAAGGTTGGGCAATCTACTTCTGTAGTGATACCACCTCAGAAGCCCAAGGAGGGGTCACTATGAGTCAGATCCAACTTGACGGCAGTGAGTAGTAAATATATGGGTGCCAAAGAGGAGCTCTGGTAGCGTGGTGCCTAAGGCACTTGACTGCTAACCAAAAGGCTAGCGGTTCAAACACATCAGCCACTCCTCAGAAGGAAGGTTGGGCAATCTACTTCCATAGTGACACTGCCTTGGAAACCCAAAGAGGGGTTGCTATCAGTTGGGTCTGACTCAATGGCAAATAACAACAACAACAAAGAGGAAGTAGAAAAAGAGGACTCCCCCAAATCAAGACAGGATGGAGATTTAGGAGAGTGTGGTGAACAGGGTCAGTTGGAAATATGAGATAAAGCAGAACTAGCACTAAACAAAGGTAAACGAGTGAATGTTTCAACACTGATGAATGTGGTGAGTGGAAAGTAGAAGTCAGGTTACAATAGAGGAAGAGCCAATGAGTTAAACTGCCCTAGAAAACAGAACCTGAAAAAAGACACGAATTCTGAATTAAAATCAACACTTAATAGAAATCTGATGGCTAATGGTGAGAACCAGTATATGCCCAAAGCCACTTTTTCCTTTCTTATCAATCCTGTTGTTCCTGTTCTCTGAAAAAAGGAGTCAAGGATGAGAAAATGGGAGATCACATTTTGACAGATTCTTTTGACTTCCTCACTTACTAACTGCTCAAGTTCTTCATTTTTACCTATTCAAGACTATAAGGAAATGATACTTTATTAAACCTAAGAGAGTATTAGAATAGAATTTTAAACAATAACAAAACTGAACCACATGTGCCAGGTAAGCATGGCAAACCACCTATCAGGCCAGACTCTTGGGTGAGGTACTCGGGGAAAGACTGGGGGAGAAAGCCTCGTCTGATGTCTCTGGGTCAAAAGGGAGTAGAGGAAAAGAGTTCAAGCCAGTCTTGGCTGTGCTTCCTTCTCCCACCCTTCTGGAAACCTCCAAGTCCCAAAGGACCATTGACGAGTTACCCAATTTCCTGTGGTGTTAAGAAGCTGCTGGAAACTGGAACACATTTTACGTAAAGAACAAAAGTCTCTCTACTCTCTGATTATTCATCAACCTTCTCAGGCTGCCATTTTCTGCACAGTTGCCTCTCAATTTGTAATAAAGAAAAGGGCTATGAATTTTGAAATATCTGACTACTATACACACACTTAGGAGCTCTGGTGGCATAGTGCCTAAGGCACTTGACTGCTAACCAGAAGGCTGGTGGTTCAAACCCACCAGCCACTCCTCGGAAGGAAGGTTGGGCAATCTACTTCCGTAGTGATACTGCCTGGGAAACCCAAGGAGGGGTCGCTATGAGTCGGGGCCAACTCAATGGCACATAACAACAACTATACAAACACTTAATATGTATATACTAAATGAGTTTTGCTAGCCTAAGAAAACCCAATCCACTGAACGATCAATCAGACAAATGTGGGTAAGATTTCTTCTTCTTCACTCCCAACTTCTGTTCCTTTTTTTTTTTTTAATTTTTACTGTGATTTGGGTGAAAGTTTACAGAGCAGATTCGTTTTCCATACAGCAGTGCCTTTTGTTTCACAACACTGACTGACATTGACTGCAATTCCCCACGATGTAACCGCTCTCTTGCCAGTCCTTCCTGTAGTTGCCTCTTCCCTGTGTCCTTCCTTCCTATTCATTCCTGCCCCCTGAGCTATCACCCTGTGTAAATACTGCCCTTCCGTTCTCCATGACTGCTCATTGGAAGGAGTATATCTACCTGGTGTAAATAAACTCTATATGCTTGTCTACTGTTTGGCTGTAAGACAAGGGTTGTTGTTGTTGTTGTTATGTGCCGTTGAGTCAGACCCGACTCATAGCGACCCCTCCTTAGGTTTCAGAGGCAGTATCACTATGGAAGTAGATTGTCCCATCTTCCTTCCAAGGAGTGGCTGGTGGGTTTGAACTGCCAGCTTCCGGTTAGCAGTCAAGTGCCTTAGGCACTATGCCACCAGAGCTCCTAGAAGACAAGGGAGTGAGTTCAACTGCAGACCTGAAGGGTAACTAAGGGCCATAGCCTTGGGTGTTTCACCAGGCTCTATCAGACCAGTAAGCTTGGTCTTTTTTATGAGTTTGGTCCACATTGTTCTTCTACTCTAGCTAGGATCTTCTCACTACTATTAATGGTATCACCATCTTCTTAGTTACCTAGCTTGGACACCTAAGCAATCTTTTTTTTTTTTTTTTAATTTTATTTTGATTTGGGTGAAGATTTACAGAGTAAATTCACTTTTCATACAGCAGTTCACATATACTTTGTCTCATGTCATTGACCAAAATTTACAATGCAACAGCTCCCCTCCCACTTCCTCCCCATAGTTACCTCTTCCCAGTGTCCATCCCTCCATACTCTTCTGCGCCCTGAGCTGTCTCCCTGTGCATAAGCAGCCCTTCCTTCTCCCATGATTGCTCTCTCCAGGGTGTGTGTCTACTTGAGGTAAATGTTTAACTCACTTGCCTGTTCTTTGTTTGGCTGGAAACCACAGGTGTGGGTTCAATCCCAGACCTGAAGGGCAGCTAGGGGCCATAGTCTCAGTGGTTTCACCAGGCTCTATTGGACCAGCAAACCTGGTCCCCACCTTCTTCTTTTTTTTTTTTGCCTCCAAATGATTTTGAGTTTTGTTCCACATTGTTCTCCCTCTCTATGCAGGATCTCGTACATCCCTTCCAAGTGGATGACAGTGGTAGCTGGGCACCATCTAGTTCTTCTGGTCTCATAGTTGTATAGGTTGCAGATCAGATGGTGTACCAGTCGCTAGGACTGATTGTTTACATTCATTTGGTTTTCTTCTTTCTTCTTCTTCTTTCTTCTTGACGAGGAGACACCCATTGTTGCATCTAGATGGCAGTTTGCTAGCTTTTAAGATCCCAGTCGCTACTTGCCAAAGTAGGAGGTGGAACAATGTTTTGTATAGTATGTTATGCCAATTGAGCTTGATGTCCCCTGCAACTATGGTCCCAAGCCCGCAGGATCAACTACTCGGTCCCTCTGGGTAGCTGGCTGTGACCAAGCAATGACCATAACCTTGCCCCTTGTCAGCTCTACTATACACCTGGGTATTCTGATCACTCACATAAACTTATAGGACCATTGTCTGCCAACCCTATATATGATCTTGGATACACTCCCCATTTAGACATACCTAATTGTTTAGCCTGTCCACCTATCTATCTGTCCATATACCCGTTTGCCTTCACTGACAACTCAGTACTGTATATACCTAAGCAATCTTTGATTCACACCTTTCTCTACTCTTCCTTCCACTCTTCTGCTTCTAATCTTTCCAATTTACGTCCTTCCCAATTCATGGCTCCACCTCTGATTCTTAAGGACTGAACTGACTGCTCTTAGAAAGCTAGCTCCTTGAGACAATGATTCCCAAAGGCAACTGCAGCAGAGCGTATCACAGTGTAGCAACTCTGCGTGTGACTTGAAAAATCTTTCCATGTAATGCTGAGAGGACATCTGGGTTGCAGGAGGAAGCACCCTCCCTACTTGAGAATCACAGCCAGCCTCTGCTTTAATACCAGCCCTCTCCTAAATCAAGCCCTCCGTTATCACTTACCTCAACAAGAGCCTCTCGACTTGCCCTCTCTTCTCTCCGAGTCCCTCCTGATTTCCTGTGGGTTACCTTTGTCTTATTTTCTTGTCAATGGCTTCCTTCAAAACCAAAACAAACCCACTGCCCTGAGATGATTCCAATTCATAGCCACTCTATAGGACAGAGTAATACTGTCCCATAGGGTTTCCAAGACTATAAATCTTTATGAAAGCAAAATGCCTCATGAAGCAGCTAGTGGGTTCAACCACTGACCTTTTGGTTAGCAGTCAAGCACTTTAACCACTGCACCATCAGGGCTCTATTGACTCCCTGCTATAAAACTCATACTCCTTAACATGAAGTCAAGGTCCTTCTGACTCTAATATGGCTTTTGCACTTTAACTTTCCTTTCTTCCCAATACTACACCTCACATCTAAGGCAAATCTACATAGTACTTGCTGAGCAAACCTTTCCCGAACTGTCCCACCAACATAAATGACTCTGCTCTCAGACAACTTCCTCTGCCAAGTATAGCTTTTCTCCCATCCCCTGCCACCAAAATCCTGCTCATTTTTCCTGGCCTAGGTCAAATGCCATCCCAGTCCTCTCCTTGTGAGGCTTTCTCCTTTATCCCAGGCTAAAATTAATTTCACCCTCTTTTGTGCTAACGCACACAGTTCACTGTCAGAACTTCTGCTACAGTAGCTAGAACGTTGTGTTATGTATTATAAGTCATCTGCAAGTATATCTGCAAGCTTGGAAGCTATAAAGCAGTGAGAGCATTGACCTGCTACCTGCTACCCTTCTGAACTTCTATGGGGCACAGGGCAGTGTCTTGCAAACAGAAGGCTGGTGAATTCATTTATCCACTCACTCACTCACTCATATGTATAGAGCACTTACTACATGTCAAAAAAAAAAAAAAAACCCAAAAAAACAAATCAAACTCACTGCCATCAAGTTGATTCTGATTCACTGTGGTTCCCATTGGGTTGCTAAGGCTGTAAATCTTTATGGAAAGTAGACTGTGCCTCATCTTCCTCCCACAGAGCAACTGGTGAGTTTGAACACTGACCTTCTGGTTAGTGTCCAAATACCTTACCCATAATGCCACCAGAGCTCCTTACTACATGTTAAACATCAGCATATATACGAACTATTGATCAACTCTCTACTATATGCACAGCAGCAAAATTATCCCAACACCTAGAGCAGAGGGTTACTTCACACAAACCTAAACTAGGTATTATTATTATGATTCCCATTTTAGCAATGAGAAAGCCAAAGCTTGGTCACACACACCAGAAGGGATAGAATGGGGATTCATATCCAAGTCTGTCCAACCCCTAAGATGCTTTTCATCCTTGAGTTTGGACATAAAGGACATGTTTCCTCCATAAACTAAAGTCTGATGACATGTCCCCATTCCTCACCTTTCAGTTCAGTCACCACCTCCTCTATTGAGCCTTCTGCTTTTATGTGCACAATGTTATCTTTGGCCCATTGTATTCACTTGAATATGTACACACAGGACTTTTCAATATAAATGACCTCAGAACTACCCATGTATGCAGAAAGATGCCCATTCCAAAGTGCAACGTCAATATAAAAAGTAGGAGCAAAAACATTAACAAAGATATTTTGAGTCCTTTTAGGTATCAATTTATATGAGAATCCCTATGGCTGAGTTTAAATTTTAATTGCTGGGTTGAGTATGTGGTTATAAGTGAGACAAAGGGTTGGGTGACAAGGAGTAACTGACCAGCTGTTTAGTAAAGTCTTCTCCACCATTCTCTTTATCAGGCATCAGTCATGATGACACATTCTTGCACCAGCAGGGATAGCATGTTACTGGGGGGGTGGCATGGGGATGAAGAGCTCAAGAGTAGGAAATGCTCAGCCCCAGTGTCCTTCCTAGCCATACTCTGGCTTCCAGACCACCACCCTTGCCCCCTGGCCTCCTAGGCAATGGTGGAGGACACAAGTGAGACTTTCAACAAAGCTCCTTGCCTATAGGGTCAATCTGTTCCTGGCAATTTTTCTTAACCTGAGAGGGTGTAGATAAGGCCCCCGACTCCAAGTGAAAAAACTATTAAAGAGTGATTTTAATCTGAGAACCAATAAGCAAATGATGGGTTTTATGTGCACTAACATGTACTTTAAGTCACGCGAAATGTGTCATTTCCAAGCAGCGGCTTCAGAAGAAACAAAGGTAGTCTGTACAGAGAAATTCCCTAGTCCTGGAGTCATTTTACATTTCTAAAAGAAAAATTGTGAGAAAATTCACATTTAAGAAGGCGCATGGTAAAACCATTCCCACAAATTTTGCAAAACCTTGAAAACAAAAGATAATGTGCTTCCTTTCCAGTTACCAAAGTCAGCACTAAAACATAAACACAAAGGATCGGGGATTTACTCTCCAGATGTTTTTTTGCGGTTTGGGAGAGAGTCAACACTGCCTCTCTCTGTGGGGAAATAAAAAGATATCGAATTATAAATTTACAGTGGAATTACCCTAGCAGAGTGGCTCTCTCCACTTATTAGCATGACGACAGAGCATTTGCTAACTGTAGTTATTCATGCCCATGTTTAAAAACTGCACAATTATCTCAATTTATGGCAATGATGATATTAAGTTCTCAGGCCAACGCACACATTCATTCTGAAAGGGGAATTACACACTGTTCCCCTATGTACTTTGTGACAAAGTTATGGATTCCTTACCTTGAAAGTCATTATGAGATGAGTAAAATGGAATTCTGCTTCCAAATCCAGTTGGATCGTTACATTTTCCATGCCTACAGGTGATTAAAAACATAAAAGAATGAAAAAAGGAAACTGTTAGGAACAGCTGTGAACAGTTGAACTATTTTCTTAAAATATCTTTCTCTTCTTCCTAGAAATCCTTTGTGACTGACTTAGGTGGTAAAGCCCAAGTAAGATGGATTCTCCAGTTTTTATAAATCATTCCGGAGCTCAACAGATTGAATCTGCTCACAAGAACAAGACATCTGGCAGAACGCCTCTAGTTACTGCTGTCAAGAAAGACATCGTTTGCTTAGGAAGAAATGAAACAGCTTCCCAAACCTTGGAGCCAAGTGACTTTCAAAGGAGAAAGGGGGGAGGCACTTCCTGTGCACAGTAGGGGGTCAGCTTGCAGTCAGAAGCACAGGGACACAGTTTCCCTCCAGAAGAAACACAAATATTCCTTTCTTCCTATGCAGCAGCAAGGAAAATAAGAAAAGCCTACCACATATGTTAGCTATATTCCAATGTACAAAAACCTGTCTAGGATGGGGAAGCCTTTGAATGCATTTCCACAACTGAAAAACAATGCCAAAGAGACAAAGAGTGGGTCAAATAAATAAACTGGCAGAACAAATACTAACATCTCCCCTTTCAGGCCCACGCCTGAACAAACAAATGAACCTTTGCACCATGCCCTGAGGGTCAACCAGCCCCAGCTTTTAACACACTACAGAGGCCATTGGAATTCCAGTGATGGAAAGTGCCCCCTCCCCAGTTCTCCTGCCCTGAAGCCTGCCTGTTAGATAAAGGAGACCTGTCCATGTTTCCTGTGTTTGAGCAGTTTTTGGGGTCTATCTCCCAGCAAGTCTTACATGCAGGAAGACAAGAATGTGTTGGAATGAATCATGTTACAGAATGGTGCATTTTCAGGAAATCAGTAGGACCTTTTGGAACAAACTCTCCCGCTGGACACCTGCCAAGTCCACTGGGGGGAAAAGTGGTCACTGGAACGGATATTAGTTGGAATGTTAAAGAAAAACATTATCATTATACTAACTAACCTGATCTAAGTTATTAAAAGAACCCTATCAAACCTAGGAGCTCTGGTAGCGTAGTGCCTAAGGCACTTGACTGCTAACCAGAAGGCTGGAGGTTCAAAACGACCAGCAACTCCTCAGAAGGAAGATGGGAGAATCTACTTCAGTAGTGATACTGCCTCGGAAACCCAAGGAGGGGTCTCTATGAGTCGGGTCTGACTCGACGGTACATAACAACATTACAAACCTACTCTGGACATTTATTTTTTTGCGTGAAAATCTTAGCTAAGCAACAAAATCTCTCCTCTGCCAGGCTTTTAAAAACCTGCAGTGTTCGTCCAAAATTACGAAAGAACAAAGTAAAGCAGAGTACCAAGCAAGTCTGGTACCATGTCTGTAACAGAACACAGGCCACACTGCATTCACCAAAAACCCATTTCATTTTCTCCTAGTAACCTGATAAAGGACTATGGGCTTATTTGTTTTGTTTTTCTTAAAAAATACAGGAAGAAAAGAAATGAGAAAAGAAACAAGGTCATTCTTGTACAGTGTATTTGATGATGTCAAACCAAGAAATGGGTCATCTTTAAGGGTAAAAGCACCTGGATACTCCAAACCCTTCTGTGCTCCTAAGCCCTGATAATTTAGCACCATCATGTACAAAACACACAGAAAATAGATCAAATCAAATTCACAGCGTCTTTAATTGTGAACTATCAACAACTGAGAGATGACAGGATATAATGACAGTCTGACTTTCTAAAAACGAGTCTAATCTGACAGGGTGGCAGAGAACTCAAGCGTCCTTATTTGAACGTTCCTTCTTTGTGGCATTTGGCCTTTTTTGCCACATAAATTCAAAGGCACAGAAATCAATGTGCTCCTGAGGTAATTGAGAAAAACTGCCTATAGAACTACAGCACACAAAAAAATGTCTCACTCTCTCTTGACTAAAGTGAGAATGATCTTGATGCTAACATGCAGGCATTTTTCTAATTGTCTTTCCGTTTCGCTGGAAGAAACGTGGGCAGACAGGAAATGCTCCTAGTCCCTGCTCACAGTAAGCTCTATGCTATTTCAGAAGTCCTTTGTGATTCAAGTGCAGATTTACAGAAACCTCTGCTTCACACGGAACCTCAACCAAGATATTCTCCTGTAAGAGCTAACACAGCTCTAAAGGAGACGTGCCCCCTGAGGATCAGCCTATCTCCATCACATGTGTAACCAACGGATTCACAAGGCCAGCCTATGGATAACCTTCCCTAGGAACCAACAGTCTCCTGGACCACATGTACATTTAATTGTCAATGACAAGGAAGTCCATTAAGGGAGTTTCTTTTTACAGAATGATAAATGACTGTAAGCAGCCAGATGCTTCCCAGGTGTAGGGTTGAGAATAAAATGCTCTAGTGGCGTCCAATGCTTTTGATGATCCCGGGCTTAGTGTCAATGCCTTAAGAGCCATTTTCATAATTTATCTTTTAATCTAAAGATACTTTGTTAATTAACGAAAACACTATACTTTCATTCCCCAAATTTCAGCATTCAACTGTGAAGCAAATGTGAAATTAATGATAGCAACTTATCCTATTTGGTGAATTAAACCCAAATCCAAACGACAAAGAAAGGAAAAGGGGTTGGATTCACACAACCACCAGGGAAACTGTTTGAGCTGCGTTTATGCTGACAGTTTCTTTGAAGAATTACGGCACTGTGCTCATTCATAGTCCCATATTAAATTTTCTCTAGATGGAAGGGGAGGGGCAACTGTCGATCTGCCCTTTCCTTTGGGGTTGAGCTAAATGAAAGCTGCTATGTTTTGTGGAAGAATAAAGGCCTGAAATAGTATAGGGCCTTCCCACGCCCTCCCCAGACTGTGCCCTGCTTCCCAACATATACATACTCCCCAAAAGCCTCTCTGAGGGTGAAGACTCTGGAACACTCCCTTGGTCTAGCATGAATGACTGCTTTCTAATAGGAAGTAGATGCTTCAGGAAGAAAGATCAGATTTTACTGAGAAGCTGGTGCCCCAGGCAATAAATTCGTCAAAGGCCATAATCACAGGACAGAGAATTCACCGTGATGACATATAGTCAGGAGCCTGTCAACCCCATCCAGGTTACCATCCAGCCACACTCACAGAACTTGTTCCCAACACCGACCACATACCATTTTCAGATTGCCACCAAATCTTAAGGCGGTTTGGAGCGAATGTAGTGACCACATTTTCAATGAGATGACTATCGGGATTGAGGGTCTCATGATAAGGATCTCGTGAATTGCATATGAAGCATTTTTTGTCCTCCTGAAAACAAAGTTAGTTTCATGAGTCTAATAAGCAATCTCACAAATTGACAAAAACTCACTAAGCCCCTATTACAAAAGTTCAACCTACTTGCTTCAAGAAAAATGATTATCAAAACGACTTATATCACATGCCTATCACTTTAACTTACCAAGTCTGAAATACTCCCAGAAAAGAATTTCTTCCTCTCTGAAAAGTCAAGGTCAAAAGTAAAAGAGGGCATTGTTTCCATAAACTAGTAATTTAATCAAAGTCAAATTTCTAGACTTAAGCCTTAATCTCAGTAAACAGCCAGAGCAGCTTACTCTAAAGGCAAAAGAGGTATTAGAGAATTTTTGCTGATTTAACGTAAACTGAAAATGAAAGAGAGGGAGCAATTCCTTTGACCTGATTCTCTAAAACCTAAATAAGGCAGAAAGCAAGAATTAGGCAGAAGTATTTAGAGAGGGGTTAGGAATCACAGAACAAGAGTTCAGCTTCTAATCCGCTCAGTGAATCAGAGGTGGTGGCATGCAGGCTAATTTATACACTGCTTGTAAAATCTGGGGAAGAGGATACCAGGCTGTCCTGCTGTGTTGAGGCCACTCAAACTGGGGACAGCCCAAGCCCCAAATGGACATGCACTCCCGGCCTTATAATTAAAAAAAAAGAAAAATGGTGCCTTTGAGTCAATCCTGACTCATGGTGATCCCACATTGGCCAGAGTAGAACTGTGCTCTATGGGGTTCTTTTCTTACATATATATATATATATATATATATATATATATATATATATATATATATATATATATATATATATGTATTGCAAAGAAAGATGTTAAACTATCTTTTAATTCCAGGCAACATGATCATCTACATAGAAAATCATATGAATCTACAAAAAAGCTACTAATATGTGAATTCAGCAATATCGCTGGATGCAAAATCAATATACAAAAAGGGAAGGGGATACCAGGCTGTCCTGGTATCCAGTTGTATTTCAATATACTAGGAACTCTGGTAGCATAGTGCCTAAGGCACTTAACTGCTAACCATAAGTCAGGCAGTTCAAATCCACCAGACACTCCTTGGAAGGAAGGTTGGGCAATCTACTTCCATTGTGATACCACCTTGGAAACCCAAGGAGGGGTTGCTATGAGTTGGCACATAACAACACCCACCACCACCACCTCGAAAACCCCAAGAGGGGTAGCTATGAGTTGGGTCCGATTTGATGGCACATAACAACCACCACCACCACCACAGGGTTTTCAATGGCTGGTTTTTCAGAAGTAGACTGCCAGGTGTTTCTCTCAAGGTGCATCTGTGTGGACTCAAACCTCCAGCCTTTTGGTTAGCAGCTGAGTGTGTTAAAAAGATTTTTTTAAAAAAATTTTTTTGAGTGTGTTAAGAGTTTGCACCACTCATAGACTTTAGAATTAGGTAGACTTTAGCTTTGAATTTCTCATCTAATTTTCTTTTGTCTAAAATGGGAGCCACAGCCACCCTAGCAGTTGGGTCAGGAGAGTTCAAGGAACCCCACTGTTCTTCACCATACTCACTGCCGTCAAGTCAGACTCGACTTATAGTGACCCCTCCTTGGGTTTCTGAGGCGGTATCACTACAGAAGTAGATTGTCCAATCTTCCTTCTGAGGAGTGGCTAGTGGGTTTGAACCACCAGCCTTCTGGTTTGCAGTCAAATGCCTTAGACACTACACTATCAGAGCTTCATCATGTTGTTGTTGTTGTTCTGTGCCGTGGAGTCAGACCTGACTCATAGCAACTCCTCCTTGGGTTTCCAAGGCGGTATCACTACGGAAGTAGATTGCCCAACCTTCCTTCTGAGGAGTGGCTGGTGGGTTTGAAATGCCAGCCTTCTGGTTAGCAGTCAAATGCCTTAGGCACTACACTACCAGAGCTCCTGAGCTTCACCAGAGTGAATGGTAAACGATATACAGTTTAACAGTTCCCTTTTCCACAAGGAGCTTTTCTCTATGCCTACATTTTCTGAAATGCATATTATTCTTCAGTCTGAAAATAATGCTCAAGCTAAGACATAGAGAGACATCCGTACATCCTACAAACAGGACTTAAGCAAGGGTGATATTCTTCCAAGGACAAAAATCAATGGAGTATACTTTTAAACTTGTATTCATCTAGTTAGTTATCAGTTATTATCTTCCACCAAAAAGGATTTGGAGAGTGGTAAAAGGTATTAAAAAGTGTTGGGTGCCTTCAAGTCAACTCTGACTCATATGAGTGTTGAACTGCCCCATAGGGTTTCCTAGGCTTTAATCTTTACTAGGGAGCTCTGGTGGCGTAGTGCCTAAGGCATTTGACTGCTAACCAGTGGGTTGGTGGTTCAAACCCACCAGCCACTCCACAGAAGGAAGACTGGGCAATCTATTTCATAAACATTTACTGCCTCGGAAATACAAAGAGAGTCACCATGAGTGGGAATTGACTAGATGTCAGTGAGTCTGGTTTGTTTTGGTTCAATCTTTCCTACAGCAGATCAGGTCTTTTTGGCTATGAAGCAGCTGGTAGATTTGAATTGCTGACCTTTCAGTTAATAGCCAAGCGCTTAACCATTGTGCCACCAGGGCTAAAATCAGGGATGCAGTAGAACCCTGGATAAAACAAGCTCCCTGTCTCAATTTCTGCACCCACTAAATATCTGAGAAAAGTGTATACCTAATCTTTTCTTTTAGGTCCTTGTATCTGTGAAAATGAAATGAACTCCACAGTTTCATGGTTCATCATAAAAACAAGAGAGCCTGGCTTTTAAGACAAATAGTGCAATTCTCATGCTAGTCTAAACGGCTTCAGAGTCTGATGATTCATTTACAGGATGTTTAGATTTCTAAATGGTAGCACAGTATTTTAGGTAAAAACTGAATGCTAATATTAGAAAAGGTAATAGCAACTGCCTTCATTAATTTGTAGTTAAGGAAACTAGTGGCAGTTAACAATTACCAGAACTTCAAAAAAAAAAAAAAAAAGTGTAATTATAGCCTCCCTTCTAATCAGGAGGAAGCAGTCTAGACATTTCTGTATAAATCTGGAAGCAAATGAGTGGAATCTATTTTACCACATTCCTTCAGTTTATCAGGTCTCCAGGATGGGTTCTCTTAACATTTAATAAAAGTGACTCCATTTTAAGGCGTCTCCTACGCAAACCACACAACACTCTTTTCTTCTGAAGGGCAGGTACTCATGCCGGTGGAATGACCAAAATTAGAACTGGCCTAGAACTTGCTCTGCATGTGACTGACATGAGCACCATCAACCAGAGGTGTTACAGGCTTTTTAAAAAAAAAAAAATCAAGGAAAAGGGATTCTGATTCTGGATATTTCATACTCTGTGTCGTCTTTTATAACATTTGTGACTTCCTAAAAGTATGACTTCTGAAATCTAAAATCTGGATCCACTTTTAGCAAAACGCTTTAGGAAAAGCACACTTTTAGAACACCCATAAATGTCATTTGGTCCTCTTCTGTCAGGGTACCAAGGGAGCCAGGGCATTTTTGAAAAACAAACCATCTGATCCTGATACTTAAGGGAGGTAGGTGGACACTCAAACTCACTCTCACTTTCTTGAGTCAGTTCCGACTCCTCCGTGGGTTTTGCAGGTGGTATCATTACAGAAGTAGCTTGCCCAACGTTCCTCCCGAGGAGTGGCTGGTAGGTTTGAACCGCCAGCCTTCTGTCTCCCAATCAAATGCCTTAGGCACCAGGCCACCAGAGCTCCCACCTCCCCAAGCGGACACACCACTTAGTAAAGAACAGAAAAACAGGTTCAGTGACTGGGCTTCTTGTAAGGCCCCAGTGATAGATTCTAGAAATCCCAAGATCACTGCTCAATATATGAATGAAGAGAAAAAACTGCTTTAAATGCACACTTTGAAAAAGATTAAAAAAAAAAATAGGGACTTTTGGAGCGGAGCTCCTGAGTCAGGTCTGTCTAGGCGCACAGGCGGCAGAGGCGGCAGGAAATGTTTGGCGGATGCAACTGTGCAAACTGAGATGGGGAGAGAGGGTGTGCTACCAGCCTAATCCCGGGACTCCCAGACTGGTCGCGCTTCCTATCTGGATAGCTGGCAGGATGCGGAGTCTCTTGGGCCTGCCCCTCAAGTCTGGACCGGAATAGGCGCAAGCGGAGCTGCGAGGGAGTCGCTCAGCCCTCACCTGGAGGTGGCTGACGATACAGTAAGGCTCGGGCTTGTGCAGCCCGCACGTCGAGGTCACGGACAGCTTCTGCGCTCGGCCAATAAGAAGGTCGCCAGTGGCCGGATAGCAGCTGCCCTCTGCACAGCCATAGCTGAACTCCGGTTCTTGAGCGCGCACTCGGGCTCCGCACAGGGCTGCAGGAGGGATTGGTGACAAGGTGGGGGGCAAGAGCAGGGAGCGAGGCCGAAGCGAGAACAAGGAGTGGGGATAGAGGGGATTCACAAGACAGCAGAATGAATAGAAGGGACAGAGACGCATGGGCAGATGTGGGAGAAAGGGGCCGGGAAGCGGTGAGGGAAGGGCACGGAAAGAGAAACAGACACGTCATCACGTTTGTTCATCAGCCGAAAGCATCACTCCCGGGAAACCCACTGACACTCGCTCCCACTCTGATCTGCCCAGGGGAGCAGCTCCCATTACAAAACGTGTCTGTGCAGACTGGCCACTTAGACGTGCCGCTGATGGCAGGGTTGCGGGCCGCCCAACCTCTCTCGCCCGCGCTCGCGTGAGCCCGCGTGCTCGCGGCAGCCTGTGCATCCTCGGTGCGAGAGTGCGCCTGTGTGCCCGCGGACATGTGTGAGCGCGGAGACTGGAGTGGTCTGTGGGTGCGCGCGAGAGAGGGTTGCGGGCGTTCGGTCGGGAGCGAGGCGCGGGGCTCGCGGTTGAGGCCAATTCTCCAAGCAAGGGGCAAGTGGACTGCCCCTGAGGCTCTGGAGTGGTTTGGACGCTTCGGCATTCCGGAGAAGCTCAGGGTCCAGCTATTTCTGCTGCCATCCAGAGGCTAACCGCGAAGGTTAATTAAAGCCACATGGCACCAGTTTGTTCCCCGGACGAAGCTTGCGCTCGGTTCGGTCACTTTCCTGGGAATCGGTTCCCGGAGAGTCCTCGCGGCCAGGCCCTACACCTCTGTGAGCCTATTCCTCGCGCTGGGGAAACCCTACGTGAACAGACCTAAGGTGCAAATCCCCGAGCGGCGACCTCGAGAGCCCTAGGATGCAGGCCCTCGCTGCTCCGCGCGCGCCGTCTCCAGCCACCACCGAGGCCAGGGCGGTGGCGTTTAGTTCCAAAGGCAGAATTTCCTCTCCAGTCCCTCCACCAATTCCCTAAACTCCCACGACGCTAGGGCAAATGGCTTGGAGGTTTTCTAACCCCGAGCCCGCGTATCCCTGCCCCACCGTTTCCACAGAATTACCTAAGAAACCGAAAGCGAACACCTGGAGCAGTCCCATGTCCGAGTCCCTGCAGCCGAGGGGACACGGCGGAGGAGGGGAGAACACGCCCGGCGAGTCGCCTGCCCCTTTTTCCCGTCTTCCTTTCTGGAGAGGTGGAGAAAAAAAAAAGGCAAATGCTCAGAGAGAGGAGAGGGGCCCTTCCATTTCCTGCCGCTCCCACGGAAACGGGGGGTGGGGGTGGAGACGGAGGAAAATCGCGCAGCCACTTTGTTCTGCTCACCCTCGGAGCGAGCGCACTCCCCACTCCGCGCGGCCCCGAGCCCAAAGAAGGGAATTAGAAAGTTTCGCCTGGGGAGGAACCGAGGGAGGCGCCTCTGCTCATGCGCACACGGCGGGCAGGGGCTGAGGGGGCGGGCGGCAGGAGGCCACAACTTGGTCAGGAGGGGGTGAGGTCGCGGGCCAACCCTCCGGGGCGCCTCTTTTGTTTTAAGGGAGCGTCGGTCTGCGTGCGCTCGCTGCGGGGTTTTGCTCTTCAGTTCCCACCGAGGGGTTGCAGGGCTGCGGAGTCGCCCCAGGGTGCAAGGATGGGTCGGGTAGTCCAGCGCGGGGGGCGGGAGGCGTCCGGGCTGGTCTCGGAGGTAGGTGTTCAGATGGGGAAACCAGGGGGGCTGGTCGGGGACCTACCGCGTACTCGTGCATTTACATTTGTAAGAAGTGAGTCAGGAAAAGGTGCCCAGGGCTAGAAACTCTTGAACTGCGCGCTCTGGGAGGGCGGGTTAACCCTTTCGAAAGAGGGTTGACCTGCTGGGCTTATTCCTGCAAAGGATGTGAACATCTCTGCGTCACCGAGTGTGGAAGGGCGCGACATCTACAGTGTCTTCACACGAAGAAATGGAACCGCTATTCCCTGGACACTCTTTGCGCACCCATTTTTTCAGAACCTGTCCCTGGTCCCTACCACCCAAGAGATGACAGTATCGAATTATCCACTTAATTCTGTTTTTAAAAGTCTACCTTTACCTGAATCCGGACGATGGCTCTAATTCAGTTAATTTTTCGGTTGACACTAATGTTTATGGTTCCTTCTCTCATCACCTTGACAGGGTGGACTCAGACATGAAGCTGGAGGTCCCTAGTGAGCGCACCTCTCTACAAAGCACAACCTCGACAGTTCTAGAGGACTCCACAGTCCACAAATGGTGAGGTGGGGAAAGGGCCTCTCATAAAAGATCTCAAACAGTTCTGAGTGTGACCTGTCTCCTTAAATAAGAGGTAAACAAGCTCATTCATCTCATGGGGGTTGGAGAGGAAAAAAATGTTCCGTGGGGACCCCACCACCGGTTCTGTGAATTGGCTCAGTTCTGCTCTGTTAGCAATAGATGAAATGGACTCAATGCTTGAGTTCTTCAGTCCTGCTCTGGGCAAGTCCCTGGAATCAGGGGAATACAGTTAGTTGTTTGTCCAGCCTGGAGATTGTGCTTCTTTTCTAGTTGATCACCTCAGGGAGAAGGGTTTAAGTGGCTAATTGGTCAGTTTTTAACTTAGCTGTAATGAAATAGGGCCCAGGAAGTTTAATCATTAGACCCTAGATTAAGCTGCTTTAGGAGTCTGTAACACCCGTGGCTGAGGGAGGTTGGAGCCTCGGGTCTTGGTGATGCATTAATTATTCACCAAATCAGAAGTGCCTTGCTGCAGCCTCTGCAGACTTTGCCTCTAGGATGCAGGATCCTGGGTGCTGGCTGGGCAGCTCAGAGAGCACGGGAAAAGCCTAGCCTATGTGGGAGGGGGAAGGGTGGAATATAATATTGCAATGGAAGGTTTTTAGATTTTAATTAAAATAAAAATATTAATAGGCAGATCTCTTTTCTTCTTGTCAAGATTTTAATGCCCTTGGCCAAAATTTGCACCTTCCAGCTTTTCAGCGGTAAAAATTGCAAGCATCGTTCAGTTCTGCCTCCTTGAGATTGGCTTCTGGTCTCCTTGTAGCTAAGCCCTCCATGCTTGTCGGCAATGATACTAGTCCCTGGCACACTCTCAGTGTGCAGATTCACCTTCCTAAAGCTTCGCCACTCTCCTGACTACCACACTCTCAGTATGTAAACTTAACACTACTTAAGAAATTAGGAGGGTTTTATTTGAATGTGTATGTGTAGGGGAGTGAGCATAACATTCACTTGCATTCCAACCACTCAGATATGGATTTGTCTACCTAAGGTGGGTATGTTGTTGTTGTTGTTGTTGTTATGTGCCGGCGAGTCGGCCCCAACTCATAGCGACCCCTCCTTGGGTTTCCAAGGTAGTATCACTACGGAAGTAGATTGCCCATCTTCCTTCCAAAAGGTGGGTATGGAGATAGAGAAATCCATAGATGAGTGGTTGGAATGGGAGTGACTCTTAAGCACACTCCCCTACACTCCATTCCTACCTTAAGGAGCTCTGGTGGCACAGTGCCTAAGGCATTTGACTGTTAACCAGAAGGTTAGCAGTTCAGACCCACCAGCCACTTTGCGGAAGGAAGACAGGGCAATCTATTTCCATATAGATTTACCACCTTGGAAACCCAATGGTGGTCACTGTGAGTCAGAATCAACTCGATGGCAGTGCTTTGGGTTTGGTTTGGGTTTATTCCTACCTTTATCACTTCTGTCCTAAAAATGCACCCTCCTCTCAGCTAATTTGAGCAGTGCTCTTGCCTCAATCTCCTGTATGCTCTCTCTTCCTTGGCTTCTCCCTCTCATATGCAAACCTGCTCAATTTCACCCCCATCTTAACTAACAAAACCCTGGCTTTTCCTTATACACCCTCTACTCCACTCTTTTCCTCCTCCTTCCACGTCTTTCTTCGTCTGATAGCTCTGCTGAAACTTGTCCACTATGGGTGACTCTTCTGGTATTTGAAGTACTGGGGGGATGGCTTCCAGCATCACAGCAACATGCAAGCTACCACAGTGCGACAAACCACAGACGAGTGGTGGTAACAGCAACTTAAGTAACAAAGCCCTGCCTTTATCCTGTGCTTCTTCGCTTTGACTTTGTACCTCAGCTTCTGTTCTTACCTTATAGACTACATCCTGTTCTCTTCTTTAGCCCATTTCAACATGGCTTACATCTTCACCATTGCTCTGTCATTGCCACCAACCTTCTAATTGCCAAATGCAATGAACATTTTCACATTGTTATCTTACTTGATCTCTTTGTGCTTCAGATGATCACTGCTTCCTTCTTGAAACTCCTTCCCCCTTGGTTTCCAGGACACAATTCCCTCCAAAATTTCTTCACAGGACGTTGACTCCTCTTTTGCCATTTGTCTTGCCCAGCCCTTAGCCTTGAACATTGGTGTCCCAAAGTTTCCGTCTCCAGCTTGTTTTTCACCTGCATACTTTCATTCACAGCCAGGGTCTCAGCCACCACCTTGATCTTGGTGACCCCTACATCTGTATCTCCAGCCTGTACCTTGCTCAGATTTTACATTCAATTTCTAACAGCCTGTGCAGCATCTTCTCTTTGTTGACCCATAGGCACATGGAACTCATATGTGCAAAACTGAACTCATCTTTCCAACCAATCCTCAAAAGAATAAAACTAGCTCCTTCTTCTGTTTCTGATTTCAGTTATTGGCACCACAATCCACCCACTAGCTAGAGACCAAACCCTGGGAACAGAACCAGCTCTATGATTTTCAGGGCTGGAACAAAATGAAAATATGGGCTTCCTTGTTCAAAAACTATTAATAATTTCAAGACAGTAGTAGCCAAGCATTAAATAAAGTGTGGGACCCTTGGGGGGGGGGTCCTGTGCAACTGAGCAGATCTCATGCCTGTAAAGCTAGGCCTGTCTAAGAATCATGCTTGACTCTCTCCATCACCCCCCTCCCCACCTATTATGAATCACCATGTCCTGCCGTTTCTACTTTCCTAGCAACTAGCCCACATGTTCCCATTGTGCCAACCTCATTACCCTGCCTTAATGCAGTCTTTCCTCACTTGTGGTCTGAACGCCAGCAGGAGCCTTCTGGCTGGCATTCCTGCCTTCACTGAATCCACTGTAATTCTACCAGGAGGAGTCTCCAGAGGCATGACCTTGATCATGTCACTTATTGAAAAGCCTTCAGTGCCCCCCACTCCCACCCACGGGAACTTCCCAGTGTTCCCTAGACATGACAGCTTCTGATACCTTCATCCCTTTCCCATCTTCTCTCTGTTAGGGGGGCTCTCTGTGACCCCTGTCAACTTAATGACTTTGCTTAAACATGGCTTGCTATGTGAAGGCTTTTTTCCCTCCTCTCTCTCCACACCCCCACTCTTCTCCAACACCTTATAAAAGCCTGTTACAGCATGCATGACATAATGCAGTAACTATTTGTTCATGCACTTATCTTCCCCAATAGAAAATTAGATAAGGACAAGAATTGTGTAATACTCACTTTTATATAAACATTGCTGAACATTACATGAGACACATTGAAAGTGCTCAATAAAAGTTTCATAAATGAAAATAAAGTCTAGTCTATGTTTTTTTTCTGAAACCTTAGATGTCTACTTTCCACCTAACATGAATTTCTTTTTAGTCAAGAAAAAAATATTACCACCTGACTTGAGTTCATTTTAGGATTAATTTCAAATTTCACTCACAATTTCTTCCTCTCCATTCCTCTGTATTCTGAAGTTGGTACAAATTTGTTGTTGTTGTTAGGTGCCGTCAAGTTGGTTCCAACTCTTATTGACTCTTATGTACAATAGAATGAAACACTGCCTGGTCCTGCACCATCCTCACAGTGGTTACTATGTTTGAGCCCATTATTGCAGCCATTATGTCAGTCTGTCTCATTGAGGGTCCTCTGTCCTCTTTTTTGCTTACCCTCTACTTTACCAACCATGATGTTCTTCTCCAGAGACTGGTCCCTCCTTAAAACATGACCCAAGTGTGAGAGACATAGTGTCACCATCCTCACTTCTAAGGAACGTTCTGGCTGTACTTCATACAAGATAGATTTGTATGTTCTTCTGGCAGTCCATGGTGTAGTCAGTCTTCTTTGCCAACACATAATTCAAATACATCAATTCTTCTTCTTTCTTTCTTATTAATTGTCCTGCTTTCGCATGCATATGAGATGATTAAAAAATACCATGGCTTGGGTCAACCACACTTTAGTCTTCAAGTGCTCTTTGACAATTTAAAGACATCTTTTGCAGTAGATTTAGGATG